CGAGGCGTTGTTCATACCTTCATCTGCCATCATTTCCTGAGTCCCAGTGCGGGGGGCGGGGGGGGGGGGGGCGGAAAGAGGAAGCCTCTGAATGGCTTTCTCTAGAGCAGCCAGCTTGTCCTAGACGGTTAGCTCCGCCCCTGGGGTGGGAAGAGTTAAATTCTGAATGAAGTTTTCTCCTCTCTTACCTCTGCCTTCTGGATGTTTCAGCCACAGCCGAGTAGGCCCAGAGCACGCCTGGAGGGAGGCAGCCTGTGATGGGAACCCGCCCAGAGGCCCCCCGCCTGTGCCGGGCCCCCTGGCTCCTGGGATTCACCAGCCTCCTCCTCAGTGAGTGGCCCGGGTCCCTGGGCGGGAGGCCGCTGTGCGGGGCAGGGAGGGGGGCTCCCGCGGGTCTGATGACTGTGGGGAAGGACCAGAAATACCACCTCTGTCGTACGGCACGTGCGGGGCCTTTGGTTCCGAGCTGGGCCCCCTCCCACAGGGGGCCATGCAGTCTCTGCAGCCGTGTGGGGAGGATGGGGCGGCCCAGAGGCCCCGTTGGGGCGGGGGGACCCTGCTGTGGCGCCTGGGGCCAGAGGAGGGCCCGGAACACACTGAATTCTGTCTGACCCAGGAAGGGCGGGCGGCCCCCAGAGTTTGAGGGCGTCTGAGCCCACTTGCTGGAAGGGTGTGGACGGAACATGGGCGCTGACAGGCCCCAGGAGGGGGTGAAAGGGGTGACAGGAAGGTCCCCACAAGGGAACTGAAAGAAAAGACAGTCCTAACAAAACCCAGACATTCCAGTTATTACTTCCCCTGAGCCTATCTGCTTTTGTGTAACAGAATGAAAACAAAGGGGAACACTGAGGTCTCAGAGCTGTGAATTCCCAGGAATTTTATTTCCTATAAAGTTTGGGTTGTGTGCCCCGAGCTCGCTGAGGGTGTGGTGCAGGGATTCCATGAAGTTCTCGGACCCGAGACATCTGTAAACAGGGTATTTCCCATTAGAAAATGAGCTCTGTGGGGGCCTGGGTGGCTCAGGCAGTTGAGCATCCGTCCTACCATGGATTTGGGCTCAGGTCATGGTCTCCAGGTTCAAGAGTTTGACCCAAGAGTCAAGCTCTGTGCTGAGCCAGCTTGGAATTCTCTCTCCTTCTCTCTCTGTCCCTACCCTCTCATGCTGTATTTCTCTCAAAATAAATCAACAAATTTAAAAATTTATTAAAAATATGAGCTTTGTAAGGTTTTGACATCCCTCTTAACAGATTAATTTTATCAACAATAAAATGGAGGCTTTCTCTTTCTTTCAAATATTTCTTTTAAATATTTACTTTTGAGAGAGAGAGAGAGAGAGAGAGGCATAGAGAGAGAGGGGGAGACAGAATCTGAAGCAGGCTAGAGCTTCCAAGCTGAAAGCACAGAGCCTGATGTGGGGTTGAGCCCATGCACTGAACCATGAGATCATGAACTGAGCTGAAACTGGGTCCTTCACTGACTGAGACAACCAGGTGCCCTACTCTTTCTTTCAAAAATTTTTTTAATGTTTTATTTATTTCTGAGTGAGAGAGAGAGACAGCACGAGCAGGGGAGAGTCAGAGAGAGGGAGACACAGAATCTGAAGCAGGCTCCAGGCTCTGAGCTGTCAGCACAGAGCCCAACGCAAGGCTTGAACCCACTAACTGTGAGATCATGACCTGAGCTGAAGTCGGACCCTTAACTGACTGAGCCACCCAGGTGCCCAATTTCTTTCAATTTTTTAAAAATATTTTTATTTATTTCTAGGAGAGAGAGAGAGAGAGAGACAGCGTGAGCAGGGGAGGGTCAGAGAGAGAGTGAGGGAGTCACAGACTCTGAAACAGGCTCCAGGCTCTGAGCTGGCAGTCAGCACAGAGCCCGACACGGGACTCGAACCCATGAACCGTGAGATCATGACCTAAGCGAAAGTCAGACGCTTAACCGACTAAGCCACTGAGGCGCCCCCAATTTCTTTCAATTTTGAGTAACTGGAGAAAAATGTGAAATTACATGGAGTTTCTCCATCAACACCTGGGTTGGAAGACTATGTAGAAAAGAAAGAAAGAAAAAAGGAAGAAAGAAGGAGGAAGGAAGGAAGAAGAAATAAGAGAAATGGAAAATTTTATGTTGACTGTTAAATTTTATCTCCTTAAATACATCCCGACTCTCTGGATCACAGCCACCTGTGCCCCTGGCCGTCTGTCCTTCTGTCCTTCAGTCCTTCCTCTCTGGGATTAGCACCGTCTGCTGATCTGAGACTCTCACCTCCTTCCTCCCACCTCAAGGTGCATCCAGTCCCTGGAGCGCCCATCACCATCCAGCCCGGGGGACAGACCCTCCCCTGCAGCCTGAGGGCTGGGCCTCCTCCCTCCCTGCGTCCCTCCCTCCCAGCAGGTGCCCCAGGTCCCTGTCCTGCCAAAGCCCATCAGGTACTGTTGTGCCCGAATCACGAGTCCCAGAGACCTCCAAGAAGCCAAAACCGACGTAAGAACAAAAGGGTCTTTATTACAAGCTCGAGCAGGGGCCCACCCGCCTACCTGCGCAGCAGCAGCAGCAGGGGAGCCTCGAACAATAGCGAGCAGGGTTTTTAAGGGGTAAGGGATGGGGGTGTTACACTACACGTGTTGTACACCAGTCACATTTGTACAGCACCCTTGGCAACAGCTTTGACCATTCAGTACCTGTGAGGTGCCCGTTACTTTTGGCGGAGCCCAGTTATGGCCTTTTGAGACTCCTTTGAAAATGACCAATAAGGAGGTGAGTTAGGCACGCTTGTCTCAGCCGGCAGGAATGTTTTCAACCTCCTCTCATTGGCTAATTGGGGAGGGGTTTCGGCCTTGAACAATCTGCGGGTTTTCCTGAGACTGCTGCTATGTGCAGCCCGAGGTTGCTTTTAATGGGGGTCTTAATTTTTTTTTAAATGCTTTTATTTATTTCCAGGAGAGAGAGAGAGACAGCGTGAGCAGGGAAGGGTCAGAGAGAGAGGGAGTCACAGACTGAAACAGGCTCCAGGCTCTGAGCTGGCAGCCAGCACAGAGCCCGATGCGGGGCTGGGACCCACGAACCGCGAGATCATGACCTAAGCGAAAGTCGGACGCTTAACCGACTAAGCCACCCAGGCGCCCCTAGGGGGTCTTAATTTTAAAATGGCGTTATTGAGGCTCTTCATTTCCCCCTTCTCTTGTGTATTCGAAGACCCAATCATGGGCCTTCTGTTGGGTCCCAGTCATTAGGGTGGCGATACTGCGACCTAAGGACTATGGGTTGTATTGCCCCCAGGCGTTCACGCATGAAGGTGAGTAATCTATTTAAAATGCAAGGTCCCAAAGTTAGTAACAGCAATAAAATCAGTAGGGGGTCTAATAAAGTAGAAATCAGGGTAGTCAGCCAAGGGGAGTTGTTAAACCATTTTTCGAACCAACTCTGGCTCAGTTCATACTCTCGTCTTCTTCTAGCCAGGCCTTCTCTTACCTTAGCTAGAGATGCTTTGACTACTCCTGAATGATCAACATAGAAACAGCATTCTTCCCTGAGAGCAGCACATAATCCACCTTGTTGGAGGAATAAGAGGTCTAAGTCCCTTCTATCTTGTAGTACTACTTCTGCTGGTGAAGTCAGGGACTCTTGTATGGGCAATGGAGTTTTCTAGGTTTTGGATGTCAGTGTCTATGGCCCTTCTTAAGTCTTGATAGATTTTACTTTGGGCTGCTAAGGCTGAGATACCAGTCCCTGCTCCCGTTATTCCTAGGCCCAGAAGGACGGTCAGGGTGAGAGCAGTGATAGGCTCTCTTTTGACTCGCATCAAGTAGTTCGACTCAGTTAGGGACGTTATAATTTCTTCATTGGCATGGTAGAGAACTCGGGGCACTAGCTGGACCAGGACACAGAAGTCTTTGTTGTGGTTCAGGACCGCACCATGTACACAAGGGGTTAGGGTTAGCCCACCATTCTTGCTCTGGTCGGATTATGTATCCATTGTCCCTAATCTGTTCAGTTTGATTGCAGAGGTGTGAATGTGAAGCCGGGACCTGTCCCGTGCATAGGCCCTGTCCCATTATAGACTGCAGGGTTAGCCTGCCAGTGTTTGCCTACTGCCGCCGGCACTCAGAGGACGTAATAGAAGTGCAATGTTGGCCCAGGATGGCTATTCCTTCATAACAGGGAGGCTTGGAATTATAGCATAACGGAGAAGACTCAGTTAAATCCGGCCTGGTAGAATTGAGAACTTCAAAATGTGGACCATCAGGTCCCCTAAGGACTCTTTCTCTGGCTCCTTGAGGATGGTAGTTCCCATGGACTTGGTAGTAATGGGAGCAGTGTGGGGTTGCCTGGGGGTCGGGTGGATTAGAATTAGGGCCTTATTAGGGCCTATGGTCTCTCTTGATTCTGATTGAAAGGGGGCAAGGACCCGCTTGACCATAAACAGTACTCCTGTATTATACCCTGATTTATATAGTCTTAATCCTCAGGTTAGACCTTTGTCCCAGTCCCTAGTTTTTCTACCCTTGTCAGTAAATGTTAATTGTAAAGGATTACATCTAGAGCCAGGCTTACAGGGGGTGGTTGAGTGTTTGCGCCGGAGGGAGATGAGAGATTGAGAGTCCTGGATCCAGCTGCAAGATCCTGTGGTTTCACAGCCCCATTCCCGGCAATAATAATCTGACCAGCCCCCAGAATGAGCCGCCTTGTCACTAGAAATTGGGGCCGGACATGCATAAAAACAGATTCTGTGTAACTCCTGCTGGGTAGTATGGGTACCACATCCAGGGATCCCTATTCTCCCTTTATGCAATGGGTCTTGTTCAAATAAGCTGCAAAGGTCAAATTCAAATGTAGGCCACCATGTATCGGGCGGATGGGGTCCAACCTTAGTAACTATGGCTTGATTTGAACTAGGCGTAATGACCGCCATGTTACTTGGAGGGGTTGGTGAGGATTTCGGTTTTGGTTGGCCTGACAAGGCAGAGTACATATGGTTAGTAGTCCTCATATTAAAGGCCAGTTCATGCTTTCCGCTGTAGTTTGAGCTTTAGTGGATTTTCTGGGTCCTTGACGGCCCTCCAATCTGGATTCGGAGCCAAGTAGTCGTCCTTGTCAGCAAACGGGTCAGCTGGTTTGGCGTGGGTGTAGTGGACCCAGGCAGCAATGCCGTCTACTTTTAGGCCCGTTGGGGTGGTCAGTAGTACAACATAAGGTCCCTTCCAGCGTGATTCCAAGTTGCCCTGGTGGTGTCTCTTTACGTAGACCCAGTCACCGGGGTGGAAGCGATGCGTCTCCTGTGGTGGACCTGTTTTATAGAGGGCATGCAATTTAGGCCAGACATGTTTATGGACCCACTGGATTTTTTTTAAGTCGTCCAGTAGGCGTTGATCTTCAAACTCGTTAATCACCCATGCCTGGAGATTGGGAATGATGGGAGGGGCCATCCCAACATGATTTCAAAAGGAATTAATCCCATCTGGTATGGGGAGTTACGCACCCTATAGAGTGCAAAGGGAAGGAGAGCCACGCGGTCTCCGCCAGTCTCCAAGGTGAATTTAGTTAAGATCTCTTTTAGGGTTCTATTCATTCTTTCTACCTGTCCTGAACTCTAGGGTTTGTACGCACAATATAATTTTCAATCAATCCTCAGGACTTTGGCTAAACTCTGACTTACCTTGGACACAAATGCAGGTCCGTTGCCTGACCCTATCATCTGAGGAAAACCATACCTGGGGAAGATGTCTTCTAGGAGTTTCTTGGCCACGATCTGGGCGATCTCATGCTTGGTTGGGAACGCTTCTGTCCATCCTGAAAAAGTATCTATAAACTAGTAGATATTTGTACCCATATAGTCCTGATTTTACCTCAGTGAAGTCTGTCTTCCAGTAGGCTCCGGGTTGTCTTCCCCTCAGGCGAGTTCCGGGGTTGTTAGGATTTTTCATGGTGTTAGTGAGTTTGCATGACTTGCAATTGGCCACAGTCTGTTCAATCTTAGAGTTAGCATCTCTGATTTTTATCTTAGCATGGCGAACTAAAACTTGCATTCTTTTGATTCCCTTATGGGAGGCACGGTGTATCTCGGTTAGGGCTCTTATCCCTAGGTCTTCAGGGAGGATGAGCTTTTCATCTGCTGATCTATATCATCCTTCTACGTATTTGGTTGTAGGCAGCTTTTTGGTCCATTGTAAATCTTCTTTGCTATATTCGGGGACTTTAGGGAGAGTAGGGTCTCCAGGGTCAACCAGAGTAATGGCCAGGGTATGATTGGCTCTGAGAGCAGCTTGCTTGGCTGTTTGGTCTGCTAGGTTGTTGCCTTTAGAGATTGGATTATTATCCTTTTGGTGACCTGGGCAGTGAATAATAGCCAGCTTTTTGGGGAGCCATAGAGCTTTTAATAAGGCTAGGATCTCGGGGCGCCTGGGTGGCTTAGTCGGTTAAGCGTCCGACTTTCGCTTAGGTCATGGTCTCGCGGTTCATGGGTTCGAGCCCAGCGTCGGGCTCTGTGCTGGCTGCCAGCTCAGAGCCTGGAGCCTGTTTCAGTCTGTGTCTCCCTCTCTCTCTGACCCTCCCCTGCTCACGCTGTCTCTCTCTCTCTCTCCTAGAAATAAATAAAACATTAAAAAAAAGAAATTAAAAAAAAAAGGCTAGGATCTCTTCTTTGTTTTTGATAGTCTTTCCCTCAGCTGTGAGCAGTCCCCGTTCTCTGTATATGGCCCCATGGACCTGTGCGGTAGCGAAAACGTATCTGCTGTCTGTATATATGTTTAATTTTTTGTCTTTTCCCAAAGTCAAGACTTTGGTTAGGGCTATGAGCTCAGCCTTTTGTGCTGAAGTGCCAGTGGGCAAAGGTTCTGCCCAAATAGTTTCTTTTATTGACACTTCTGCCGCCCCCGCATACCTTTGTCCCTCCTGCATGAAGCTGCTGCCATCTGTGAACCAAGTAACCTCTGCATCTGGAAGTGGAGTGTCCCTTAGATCAGAGCGGGTCCCATGAATTTGAGCCAGGACCTCGGCACAGTCGTGTAAGGGTGCTCCTAGGTCCGGATCTGGCAGCAGTGTAGCTGGGTTTAGGGCTGTGGGGGCCTGGAAAATGATTCGGGTAGGATTAAGCAACAAAGTCTGATAATGTGTCATGCAAGCATTGCTGAGCCAGCAATCTGGCGGTTCTTTTAAGACTCCGTCGATGGCATGGGGAGTGGTGATAGTTAACTCTTGTCCCAGTGTCAGTTTGTCTGCATTCTTGACCAAAAGAGCTACTGCCGCTATCATGCGGAGGCATGGGGGCCATCCTGCGGCTACTGGGTCAAGGTTTTTTGGCAGATAGGCCACAGGGCGGCGCCATGGGCCTAAGCGCTGAGTCAGGACACCCTTGGCTATTCCTCCATGTTCATCTATAAACAGGTGAAATGGTTTAGTCACGTCCAGTAGGCCCAAAGCAGGTGCTGACCAGAGGGCCTGTTTTAAGGTCTCAAAAGCCCTCTGATGTTCCCCAGTCCAGAGGAAGTTAGGCTGCCCTCTGGTGGCCTCATACAGAGGCCGGGCTATCTCAGCGAACCCAGGAATCCAGAGTCTGCAGAAACCGGCTGATCCTACAAATTCCCGCACTTGTCTGGCATTCCTACGGGTAGGGATTCTTAGGACAGTCTCTTTTCTCACTTGTGACAGCCATTACTTACCTTCCTTAAGGATATAGCCCAAGTATTGTACTTCTTCTTTACAGATCTGGGCCTTTTTGGCAGAGGCCCGGTATCCTTGGTCCCCCAGGGTTTGCAGCAACCTTTAGGGGCTGGTCAAGCAGGTGTCTCGACTTTCAGCTGCAATAAGCAGATCATCCACGTACTGCGAAAGAGTCAATTGGGAGTTTTGGGAGCGACACTCACCTAAGTCCTCGTGTAGGGCTTCATCAAAGATGGTGGGAGAGTTCTTGAACTCTTGGGGGAGCCTAGTCCATGTTAACTGTCCGTTGATTCCTTTGTCAGGGTCGTGCCATTTGAAAGCAAAGAGGTCTTTGCTCTTGAGAGCTAATGGGAGGCTGAAAAAGGCATCTTTTAGGTCTAGGATCGTGTACCAAGTGTGGCTAGGCGGAATAGAGCTCAACAGGGTGTAGGGGTTGGGCACCATCGGGTAGATGTCCATTACCCATTTGTTGACCTCCCTCAGATCCCGTATAGGCCTGTAATCATTAGAATTTGGCTTGCAGATGGGTAACAAAGGCATATTCCAGGCCAATTGACATGACCTTAGAGCTCCTAGGTCTAGTAGGTGCCTGATATGGGGAGTTATGCCCTTTTTGGCTTCTAGGGACATGGGGTATTGGCGGACCCGGGCTGGGTTTGCCCCAGGCTTCAGTTCTACGAACACTGGGGGTCTATGTTTTGTTAACCCCATGCCTCCAGTCTCAGCCCATGCTGATGGGAACTGCTGGAGTCAAGGTTGAATCTCTGCATCTGGAGACAGTGGTGCCTCATGCAGGCAGTATTCGTCCATCAGCCTGAGCTGATGTATTGGTTGCCCAGCCTGGTCTAATACCTTAGTCCCCTCAGCCGAAAAATGGATTTGAGCTCCCAGTTTGGTCAGCAGATCACGGCCTAGTAAGGGCTATGGGCATTCTGGGATGACCATAAAGGACTGGGGTACCCGGCCCACACCAAGGTCTACTGTTCTTTGGGTAGTCCATGGATACTGTTTTATTCCTGTGGACCCTTGGACCCACGATGTTTTGTATGATGGAGGGCCAGTTGAGTGTAGGAGCACAGAATGTTGAGCCCCCAGTGTCCACTAGGAACTCGGTGGACTTCCCCTCCACTTTTAAAGTTACCGTGGGTTTGGGGAGGGGCACCGAACCCCGTCTCCCCTAGTTGCTGTCATCTCCCATTACTAGAATGGGAGCTTTCGATTTTCTCTTGGAACTCTCCCTGGACCAATGCCCTTCTTCTTTACAGTAGGCACATTGGTTTTTGCCCAGGCGGGGGCGTCCTTTAACCTGTTGGGAGTGTTTCTTACCTTCTTCTCCTGAAGCCAGCTGTTTGAGGTGTCTTTTTCGATCCTCTGGTTCAGCAGTCACCGCAAGCAGGATCTTGGCTAGACTTTGGTTTTGTCTTTTTTCAGCTCTTATCTGCTTCTCCTCTGCACTTTCCCTATTACTGTATACCCTTTCTTCCACGACCACTAGATCTTTGAGGCTTTTTTCTCCTGGACGATCTAATCTCTGAAGTTTTCTCCAAATATAAGGAGCAGACTGATTGATAAAAGCCATAGCCACCGCAGCCAAGCTTGCCTGAGCCTCAGGATCCATAGGGGTGTACTGCGGAATGCCTCCATTATTCTCTCAAGGAATGCTGCGGGGCTTTCCTCGGGTCCCTGACTGACATTATATACTTTAGCCATATTAGTCGGCTTGCGGGCCACAGCCTTGAGACCTGCCAACAGAGTCTGGCAGTAGACCAATAGACTCTCCTTACCTTCAGCCATGTTGTAGTCCCAGTTTGGCCACACTAGGGGAAAACCGGCGTCAATTCGAGCTGGGTCAGTGGTGGGAACTCCAGTGGGCCCAGGAACCAGTTTCCTGGCTTCCGACTGGATTCTTTCCCGCTCCTCAGTAGTAAACAGTACCTGTAACAATTGCTGGAAATCATCCCAAGTGGGCTGATGAGTAAACAGAACAGTTTCTAGTAGGTTAATAAGGGCGCGGGGATTCTCCGAGAATGGAGCGTTTTGAGACTTCCAATTGTATAGGTCGCTTGTGGCGAAGGGCCAGTAATGGTGGAGCTGGTTGCCCCCATCATGGGGGGGGGGGCTGTAGCTCTCAGGGGCAGGACAGTTGAGTCCGCGGTCCCTCAGGCATTATTCCACAGCGCTTTGGTGGGCAGGACGGAGGGTGGTTCCGGCGGCGCTCTTGCCCTTCCTGCTGAGCCCTGTGAAGGGGGTTGATAAGGAGGGGGAAAAATGGATTCTTCCTCTATTCCGCCCTGCAAGATAGGATAGAGTGGCACAGGGGGTTTTGTTTCCTTTTTTGGCGTTTCCGCAGCCTGAGAGGGCGGTTGCTTTTTAGTTATTGCCAGGATCACAGGTTTCTGTAGAGGCAAGCAACTTTTAACCCAAGGGGGTGGGTCATCAACCAGATCGGCCCAAACCATGATGTATGGGACTTGGTCTAGATTCCCGGTTCGGGGTTGGAAAACCCGATCCTCTACCTTCTGAATGGCATCATGGTCGAAGGTCCCCTCTGGTGGCCATCCCACATCAAGAGCAGGCCAATCCGAGCCGCAGTAAGTTCGGAATGGACCTTTCCTGACAATCACCGAGAGGTTATGAGCTCGTTTTTTAACCTCTCCAAAATGGACTAACATTAAGTCTAGGGGTTTGGATGAAGTCTGTCCCATAGCGTCAGTCTCAGTCACAAGGTAATGAACACCAACAGAGAAAATCGACAACCACAGAAAGACACAGAAAGCTAGCCAACAGATTCCGACGCTCGATCGGGAGTAAAAACCAAGAGTAAGACGCTGGCCACACGCCGGTTCGCGGTAGCGATCCGCTCCGTCTTTTACCAAATTCCTCAGGGGGCACTCTGTCCCTGTTACCGATGGGGCCTTGAACCCCGTTACCGATGGGGATCCCAGAACATCTTCTCAGGATCCCCCGTGGTCATGGTCCCGTGGCACGTCTGCCTGACCACAACTGACCACTCCCAGATACAGATGTCCCAGGACCAGGAGGAGAAAATAGAGAAAATAGATAGTCCAGACAAACAGAGACAAATATATTCTTAGTGGCTGATTTTGACCCTTCGGTTAGGGGATCCTGGGGGTCCTGGAATTCCCGGACAATGCACCAAAAGTTGTGCCTGAACCGCGAGTCCCAGAGACCTCCAAGAAGCCAAAACCGATGTAAGAACAAAAGGGTCTTTATTACAAGCTCGAGCAGGGGCCCACACGCCTACCTGCGCAGCAGCAGCAGCAGGGGAGCCTCGAACAATAGCGAGCAGGGTTTTTAAGGGGTAAGGGATGGGGGTGTTACACTACACGTGTTGTACACCAGTCATATTTGTACAGCATCCCTGGCAACAGCTTTGACCATTCAGTACCTGTGAGGTGCCCGTTACTTTTGGCGGAGCCCAATTATAGCCTTTTGAGACTCGTTTGAAAATGACCAGTAATGAGGTGAGTTAGGCACGCTTGTCTCAGCCCTCAGGAATGTTAACCTCCTCTCATTGGCTAATTGGGGAGGGGTTTCGGCCTTGAACAATCTGCGGTTTTTCCTGAGACTGCTGCTATGTGCAGCCCGAGGTTGCTTTTAATGGGGGTCTTAACTTTAAAATGGTGTTATTTAGGCTCTTCAGAACCTGGGTCCCTTTCCCAGGAGAATAGCTGGGGCTTCAGAGCCCAGAACTGCTGGGACCCGCTGAGCAGACAGCAGGTCTGCAGGGAGCCCCTGTGCAGGGCAGGGGAGGGCAGGGCAGGAGAGGGCAGGGGAGGGGAGGGCAGGGAGAGCAGGGCAGGGGAGGGCAGGGAGAGCAGGGCAGGACAGGGGAGGGCGGGGCAGGGGAGGGCTGCAGGCAGCTCCCTGCAGGGGAAGCACTGAGCTGAGTGAGAGGGAGGAAGGCTCCAGGTCCAGCAACCTGCTGAAGAGAAATGGGGAAACGCCCACACCATGCAGAGCCCACATATCAACTTTTCTCAGCCCAAGTGCGGGATACCCGTGCCGGCCCCCCTGGTCTCCGGACCACGCCCAGCTGCACACCTGTGCCCAGTCACCTGCTGAGGTGGACTTGACAGATCCATGGAACCCAGCCAGCCCAGTTTGGCCAAAGGCAGAAAGTTTGATCCTGTGTGTCGGGGAAGCCCCGTTCTAGTTGGCAGAGGTGTGGCTACGGTCACCCTCATGAGGGCAGTGGGCCAGGTCCGTCCCACGTGCATGTGCCTGCCTTGGTCTATTGGACGCAGCCAATGGTTATTCCCAGTGAACACACCCATGTGTGACCTATGTGCACCTGTGTGT